AGTAATCAGCACAGATGCCGGAAACATCAATGTCAAGGTCACTGCAACCCAAGGTACCTACAAGATGGCAAGTCGGGAAAGTACTATGGTTACAATCATGTACAGCATCATTACCGGGTAAATACCCGCGGATACCTGGATCACGAGACACGTTAGGGACCCGGGTCGCTCACGCCAGCATGACACCACTTGACACCTGCGCACGCAAGCAGCAGCACATAGTTCGGTCGGACGATGTGATCCGTGGATTAGTGCGTTGGACAATACGATGGCAGCTGGGTGGGGACTGGAACTACTACAATGACTGATGTGGCGGGATTCCAAACGTATTATTGTAAGGCTGAGTGAGGGTGGGGATGGAGATGGCATCCACTGAATTGAGGGTAGGACTGCTTTTGGAATTATATGACAAAGTCAAGTTATGTATGGGAGATGTACGAATACGAGGTATTATTGCAAATTGGGTCTGGTGAGTATACTCATTCAAGAGTCAAGTAATGGGAATTATGTGGGTTAAATGATACTCCAATATGAACAATAATTTGAAATTTAGTAAGTACTAGTAGAACCGATCGCTTCAGAATTGACTGAATGCTACTGGATGGTTCTATGCGTGCTGGATAGTCTTCTTTCATTGGCCAATGCCGGGGTTGCTTCATTGTTGTTCTTGTCGCTCTTGCTATTCATGCATACAAGGGCCTAGTTTTTTTGGTGCTTAGCATCGCTCTTCACATCATCACTATCCTGTTCTGTTCTGGACTGTCAATGCAGCAGGCACGATGTCGGCAAGAGCACTCATTGTTCCCCAAGTAACACCATTATCCTCAATTACACTGCCAAGTTGACAACCAGCAAGGTGACTGTTCCATGCCTACAGGTGCTCTTTCACTCTCTTTTCATATCGAGAGTGGTGGTCACTAAGGCTCTAAATATAATGGCTCCTTGCGAAGTGTTACCATCTTCACTCTTTCATTGTTCCGGCAATCTTGTCGTGAGAATCCACTAAACTACTTGGGCTGTCCGACAGGAATGATTGTACCCTGCAGAGGGTGGCAAGATGCTTTTCTGTATTGGATTTCCGGTTGTATTCGTGTCTCGAAGACCCTGGCCTTTCGATCAGATAATTGCAGATGGCCCCAGGATCGGTGAAAAACTTTTCCTTCTGGATGAATTGATGAGTGTACGCTGGGATCAATGCCTTCCCAGAGCACGTGATGCTACAACAAGGACCATGAGGACTCACGTCTGAGCGATCTTGGCGTCGGGCAACCGACTTTCTCTCGGAGTTATTATGACAGCGGCATACTCTGATAGACAGCCTACCAAAGCTTTATCTTGACACTGTAATCCATAAGTCTACATCCTTAAGAGTATTGATCCACTGTTGTCATGGAGGGTACAAGGTTGATGCGGACCGCCACAAATGAGGCTGTGCTAGCTAGAGGCAAACGGCCACATCCTTGTCCTTCAGCCTCGCCAACTCATCAAGCGACCGTCAGAACGATTGCTGACTGACTTGGTCGATGAGGCTGGCTGCCCTTGAAGTCTTCACGCATTGCTTCCGACTTTATTATTCCACTGGACGGATAAAGAGCACTATCCACATTCAAGACGAAATATCTGGGCCAATTTCCACTATGCGTCTGCTAAACACGTGCTTGTCTGACACCGGAGACTTCTTGATCCAGGAGTTTTTCGACTATGAATTACCGCCGTACGCGATTTTGTCACATACCTGGGGCGAAGAGGAAGTCACTTATCAAGAAATCAACACAGTCAGCGCGAAGGAGAAGAGCGGATACAAGAAAATCATACAGTGCTGCTCGGTAGCAAGGACAGATGGGTACAAGTATGTCTGGATCGATACCTGCTGCATTGACAAGACCAGCAGCGCGGAGTTGTCGGAGGCAATCAACTCCATGTATCGGTGGTACCAAACGTCTGAGCTATGCTACGCCATCCTTGCAGACGTACAATCTGAAGATGAAATCGACAAGAGTAGATGGCTTACCAGAGGCTGGACCCTTCAGGAGCTGATTACTCCATCAAAGATGGTTTTCCTGAATGAGAGGTGGGAACCTCTGGGAGATAGAGCAACTCTCCGGGACAGATTATCTAAGTACACTGGGATTCCCGCCGGCATTCTTTCCGGAGACGAGGATCTCGAAACGTCTAGCGTCGCACAGAGGATGTCATGGGCTGCGAAACGACAGACGCGGAGAGTGGAAGACCGTGCTTATTCCCTCATGGGCATATTTAACATCAACATGCCGCTAATCTACGGGGAGGGCGAGAATGCGTTCATCAGACTTCAGGAGGAAATCATGCGCATTTCAGACGATCAGAGTCTTTTTGCATGGGCGTCTTCAGATGATCGCGGCGGGCTTATCGCCACCGCTCCTGCCGCATTCGCCCATTCCCAAAACATTGTACGATTCAATCCTTTTAGCAGTCTTGACAGCCCTTTCACTGTCGATAGTAGAGGGGTGCATTTAGACATTGGCTTCGCAGGAATATTAGGCGACGGCCTAGGTCTCGCAATTCTTAATTGCAAGGAAAGAACCTGCACACAAGGAACCCAGCAAGATAAGGTGATAGCCATCTACTTGAAGGATTTGGATTTTACTATGAGTCAATTCAAGAGGGTTCATAGCGGATCTTTCCGACATATAGATTTTGAAACCTTTCGACCGGTCCAATATCCTGTGAGAAGGATTTGTGTCCGAGGTGGTCGCACGATGCTCATGCGCAAGCGAATCGCCGCCATACAAGACGACATTTCCCCAGAAAATATCCATCTTTATGACGAGGTCAAACTGCCGACACATTACATCGACCCAGCAGCATTATTGGTGGCCACGGAAGCAGGAAATCAAGGTGGTGTATGGTTGCTGTTGACTCGAAGTAATATCGGGATAGAGGCAAAAAACCTGAATGGTCAGACACCTCTATCACTAGCCGCAGAGAATGGACAGGAAGGCATCGTTCAGATGCTTCTTGAGAGAGGCGCCTTAATTGAGACCATGAATTCGCGCAGTCAGACACCACTATCCCTAGCTGCAGAGAATGGACATGAAGACATTGTTCACATGCTTTTAGAGAGAGGCGCTGCAATTAAAACCAAGGATCAGTGGGACTATGAAACACCGCTAGCACTGGCAGCAGCAAAGGGATATGGAGGCATTGCCCAGAAACTCCTTGAGAGAGGCGCTGAAGATGAATATGATAACGAGAGGCTTCATAAACCACTTTGGAACGCTAGACAGTATGGGCATGAAGATATTGTCAAGATGCTTACTGAGAGACGTGTCACCTTTAGGAGAAAACATCGGAATTTTCGGAGAACATCGTTATATGACTTCAGCGAAAGGACTTGAGGTATGGTCAAGATGCTGCTGGAGTAGAAGCGCGGCAGCTGAGAGGAAATCAGTTGGGTCGGCGGCTGGTTTCTTCCCACGAGGCAACAGGCTTTCTATCAATTATAGTTCATCCACTGTCATGTTGTAGAAGCTTTGCACTATATCAAGTTCTTGGAGACTGTTCGATTTGCTACCAACGTGTGATGCTAAGAGGACGACGCTATAACTGTTACATCCCGGGAAATCCGCCGTTCCTTTCCATTCCGTGTTAGACCAATTGCAGCCAGCTCTCGTGTCAGTCCTCAACACCGATGAAGCGCAGTAGCTGCACACACACACTCTCTCTCTCTCCTATCCAAAATCTATTCCCCAGAATGCCATCCACCTATTCAAAAGCCGACAAACCAAGAGAACTACAATAGTAATTTACTCAGTCGGAGATAACTGGCCGCAATCCGGAAATAGCAGCCGAGACGGACCAAACGTGCAATTGCCGACAGACTTGTAATCGAATTTCCAACCCATCTAGCATGATTTATCATCGGCGAGATGTCGGAGATACGACCATGTGGTAACATCTCCGGAGACGTTGCATTGAACAGCTCCGGATCCGGACTACACGGTACTGAGCTCCGGAGATACGGGGTGTCATCGCCGAGCCCGATCGTCGGCGGAACAAGACCAGCTAGCTGTATACGTCCGAGACCGCTTTGAACAACAAAGCAGGCTGACATGGGTGGATATCTTCGAGGAAATCCGATTTATCCAGGAATTCAATACCTGTCCGGTATTTGTATGAGGTTAGGGAACGGGATATGCGTTTGTATAGGTCTAGCGTACTTGTCAAGAAAACCGGCTTGCATGCCATTCGGTCTTTATGGGGCTCCCAGTTCTGACCAAACCCCGGCGAGTAACAATCGCTAGCGGGCTCTAGTGGTTGGGTACGCTAATTGATCGACTGTTTTATCTTCAGTAGTAACATGATTGATGTGGATTCACTGAAGGATACATAGATCCAGTATAAGTTCGAAATAATAGAGCCATACATACGTGAGAAAAATGAAAATAAGTACACTTACCAGATTTAATTACCCGACGAATTAACATGGGCCTGGGAGATCAATAGCAGGCACGATCAAATTCAGAAAATGAATCAAACTGAATTGTTCAGAACAAATGAAGAATCACGAGGCCTTATAATACGTTTATATAGTTACTGTCTACAGTCTCGACTCCCTTTAAGGACTTGTCAAGTATACGGCGGACTGAACTTCCAATAGTTGATCTAGACATCAAAGCTTGTCTCCGTCTTGAAGCTGAATATCATCTCATTCCCTCATTCCAATTGGACCACAATACCATGTCAACCTCTTATGATCCCTTTTCCAAAGGATTATTCCCCAGAGACACAACTCACACCAAACAATCAAGCTCCCCCGGCGCACCCAACACCCTCCGCAATCAACGAATACCCCTGCACCCTATGCAGCTTGGTATAAACCGACAACGCAGAGCGCAAAACCAAACACATCGCCTTACCAGGATATACCCTATCAAGCTCCAGACCCGCAAAGCAAGGAAGCTTCCGCATCCACGCCCTCAACTTCCTCACCTCCTCAGTAGTCAACCCCTCCGTAACACTCACACTAAACAGCACCGTGCACACCGGCGCAATAGTACCCGGTTCAACAGTCCCAGATCCACTAAGCGGCAAAAAAACCGACCCAACACCGACCAGCAACGCATGTGTAGGACGGAGTTATCCCTCTTTTCATGGGACTTTAACGTTTGGAAGACGTCAGAAAACTCTATATATGCGTGTCCGCTCCGCTGTCTACGAGAGATTTCCACCGCCAGCTTAGCGGTGAGTGTATTCTCGGGTGAGATCCTGTTCCGGGGTGTTTGTGTGCTGGTGGCTGCGAGTATCTCCACTACCCTGTCTGGGATGGTTGGGGCCCGAGTTGGTATATTACCCATGTAGCAATGGTCCAGAATGAGTAGTGTGTCTAGATGGACTGTCTTGATGTCTTTCAGTAAACAGGTGTCTGCGTTGACAGTCTTCGCGGAAGTAGTGGTAGCGGTAGCGGTGGCGGTTTCAGCGAAGGTGAGTTGTCCGTTCTTTGTAAAGGCGTGTCCTGCGTAGTGAATTATTAGTAGGCTATGGTCATTTTTGGTTCTGGGTTTGGACTTGTCGATAATGTCATGAATGGCTTTCTGGAATGAGATATTGGGGTTTGGGTGGCTGTGACGGATGATGTGCTCGATGGCTGCTGGGAGGCTCAGGGTTTGGAGGATGTTTTGAAAGTATGGTGTGACTTTGTGGGCATTTGTGTCGTCTTTTTCCCAACGTATTGTGATTGAGGTGACGGTTGTGTAGTGGGTGTGGATTTGGTGGGTTGTTGCTGCTTGGAGGGTGGTTTGAAATGCGGTGGAGCTGATGGGGGACATTTTGGGATGAGTTTAAACCTCGGAGCTTGGGTGTGGTCCTAAGATAGGATAGTAAGTGTATAGAGTAGGAGTGGACGGGTTGTGGGGATTTGTTGGAGGTAGATGCAGGGGTATCGAAGTAGGTATGGGGTTGCTCGGTGGTTACTTTCAGAGTAGATGGAAAGTGGCTATTGGGAAGACAGGCAAAATAAGTAAAGGAGGAGTGGGAAGGGAAGTGAAAAGCTAGAGAGAAGATTCTGCATATTGAAAGTAACAAAAATCTTTCCTAATTATGACGATATTTGATATCATGGTTTTCGGATATTTACCACCGAATAATGGTTCTTATAAAGTGTAAGATTATGAATAAGATTATGAAGGAAGAAGAATGGTAGTTTATCTTTGATAATTGTACTGAGAAAGAAGAGCTCTAATACATTCATAGCATTCATAATGCAGGAGACCCTTGATCGACTATCCAGCAGATGGGTACATTTACCTTCCAAAATCAGACCTGAAAGACTTAGCTAGCTAGTAGGTATTTGTTTTATTCTAAATCGTCAGTATTGTGATTCTGGATGTTTGTCCTTTTCTTGATGTTTGGATAGACTCCTATTCATTACTACATTGCACATGTTACATATTTTCCACAAAGTTGTTTAGTTCGTTTGCTTCAACCCTGACAAGTCAGCGAGTCAACTAACATTCTGCACTGGAAGTGCGGCATACTCTGAATGCTGAGCTAAGAAGTCATTCATATAAGAATTCCAGTAAAGGTACCCGGAGCTTTCAATATCTCATTTGCGGAACTGAACTAGAAGGAATACTATATGAGTACTGTCCTCTATCTGAGAGCTTCTTTCAGTTTTGATTCCAAGAGTATACAGTTTCGGGTGTGGTCAGTACTACTAGATGGAGACATAGGAATATATCCCGACATAGGGTGTGGGTATTGGGGTAAGGGGGTGGAGATAACAGAGTGAATAGAAAACTTCTGGCCGTGAATGACTCTTTTATTTTGATATACTTTCTATCTCCATTCCCCATGACCCTGGAGTATTCTACGTTTACTAGATTCGTCAACACAGCTACAGAAAATAAAGCTACCAGCGAAATGTCATTCTAGAATGAGAAGATTACAATTATGTACAATAGAGCAATAGCTCAATTGTTAACCCGTTCCAGTGTCCATCTTGGAAGTAGATATCCCTGAGCCCAATACCCTTGCCCAGTCACAAATATCCATAGATAGCCACCACATATCCCCCGCAACCACAGCAAAAGATCCAACGCCTATCAACCACGCTCCCTTGACTCGAATCCAACCTTCACAAACGGCCGACTCCTCGACGGTGACCAAAACGGTGTCAAGATGTCGTTTGAATCCACCATCAAGTAGAACTCCGCAGCGAACCTGCCTATCCAACCTTAGAATTAGGACTCTTCCTAGCAACCACCTTCAAGGCAATATCATCTTTCCGGTCTCTGATAAAGCCACCCCGACGCACAAACTCCGAATCCCCCACCATGACCGTCCCCTTATTACTCTCCTCCCAGAGCTTCTTAGCATGCGGACAACCCCCAAAATGCACCAGAAACCAAAACTTCGAGTGGACCGTATCTCTGGGCGCAGACAACGATCCGAAACTTCTCTCGTCAGACGAGATCTGTTCAAATCGTCTTTGGCATCCCCTGCACGAGACCCCACGATCAATCTCCCCGGTCTCTGGATCCACCCAAGGCAGTGCAATAGTAGCCATGCACCACCGCAGGAACATCTCCCCGCTGCGGCGAGAGGTATCCGACCAGGGAAGGCCGCGTTTATGATTGGTGCTGAGCTCGCGGACTGCTTTATCGTGCACGAGCGAGTGGCGCATTTTGCGCTCCGTTTCTTTCAAGCCATACACCCCGGGAATTGATTTCAAAATGGGCACGTTTTCGCGGCGCAGAACTGCTGGGCTCACTCCATAGAGATTGTGAGCCTCGGAGAGGGTGATTAGCTCGTAATCGCGCTCGAAGTGGAAGCGGCGAGTGGTCGGGTCAATGACGTGTTGGCCAACTTCGGATTTCGTGCGGACACATGAAAAGCAACATCTGGTTAGGTTGGGAGGGAGAAGTAAGACGAATCCGCCGAAGTCGGCGCCGCAGAGTGTACACTCTCGTGTGTGGAGGACGTCGAAGACGTCGTCCAAGGTGTACCATTTTGCCAAACCGGTGCGGAGGAGTGCACATACGAGATCTTGGGCGTACATCATGGCTTTCTGGTAAGGTTTGAAGGTGCTGACGATGTCGCGGGTACGGGCGTTGACATGGCGAAGCCCAAAAAGAGTCTTGAGGTCTAGGCCCAGGAGACATTTGTGGAAGATTTCGACCGGCAGGTGGTCCAAAAGGCCGGGCTTCGCTGGATTAAATGGACGGTTGAATGCATCTCTGATGCCAGGTAGATACTTCTCGATTTCAGAGGGTCTGATTTTAATCACTGCCAACTCGAAGTCTCGGCGGTGGTAAGTTATTGCACGAAGAACGTCTGCTTCGCTGACTTCTTCATGGACAGATTGGTTGTTCGCCATTTCGGTTGTTGATGCAGGCCTCCCTGGTAGGTGGGCTGACCAATAGATGGATAGGATATGACCCTTGCATGCAGTATGCAGGTGCCTTTTATGCTGATCAGCAGTAATGAGGGTATTGCTCTAAGTGGGATACTTGCGGTGGAAAGCAGGCAGTATCCAGAGGCAGTTGAAGATACTGGAACAGTCAAGAGTTTCCGTGGAAGGAAGAACACGTCCGTGGGAAGAAGTTAACACACGCACCCTTTTTTTACAGCCACCGTTTTAATTGTCACGGTGCGACAAGACGACCGTTCCAAGTAGTGAACGGTTGTGACCGGCTGAACTGGATATTGGGCAAGCATGAGAGTGGCAGTGGGGCCATGATGCATCAAAAATTGCGAGGAAATGGGAACTTCAGACATTGCATGGCTCATGTAGGGGTATCAGTAATATCTATATCCAGGCTTCAAAGAGATGTGATATAAATACAAAGGGTATAATCATGTAGACTTCACCCATGATTGTTGATTAAACAAAGGCATGCACTTGATTCGAACGGGTGGCTCCTTCTCCCATACAACCATTTCCTTGCCCGCTTTGTAGTCTGCGCTTTCGAGGACATTGTGCACGTATCCTTGGCCGTTCTTGGCCTCACGAGTTGCTTTGTACTCATACGCCACATTCACTGAAGGAACTGCCAAGATCTTGCCCAGTCCTTGGCCCCACATATCTTTGGCCAGCAACGTGGGCTCGCCCATATGGCACTCGCCGTCTTTGTGGTTGCGGAACTCAAGCTTTCTTTGAACAAAGGGCGCCGCATCCAGGATGACCATGCCACCCCAGCACGAATAGACCTGTACCGGCAGCTTCCTTGCATATCGCTGCTGATTCGGCTGGTCATCGAAGAACATGTCCTTGGTGAGCCAGTACCGTGCATCATGAGTGATTTCGAAGAAGAGATTGCCGGACATGCTGCGCGATACCCACGAGTCGTAGAATGGCCCACCGGCGGCATTCCAGTCAAAGGCACAAGTCATGCGCGCGTCCTGCTTCTGGTGCTGATACAACAACTCGAGCAGATCTTCTACGCAAAGAACGACGTCGTTGATGAACAGGATCGTTGCGTCCGCTGCGTACGGCTTGAATTTTCCCGCTCCGGCAGAGACTAACGGCTCGAGAGCCTGGTTGCGCAGGGTCGAGAGGTGCTTGATACGGTCTTCCCATACCGCTTTGGGGTTGAGATCGCTGGTGGAAAGATAGTATCTCACGCCCATGGCAGCCATCTCGCTCTTTAACCGATTGAGAATATCATAGGTCCCGTCGGTGGAACGACCCTCGACGATGGAGAGAGCGCAATACTCGGGACCGAGGAAGCGCATCGTCTCGACGATAGTGCCCATCAAGGGAAGCATAATGTGAGCGGATTGATAGAGATCCAGAGCGAAGAAATACTTGATCTTAGGTTTAGATAGGAGGCTCTTGGATGCGTGAACCGGGAGATCGGCATAGCGCGGGCTGATGGTCGCAGGACAGTCCAGCTTCGCAGACAGACTCATATCGTGAGTCATGATGCTGCAGACAAAGTCATCGACAGCGCTGCCATTGATGGGCAGTTTGGCGGTGAGGGTCTCATCCAGAACATCAGCTACCGTCGCGGGGTTGAAGCCATTGCAGGCGGAGATGGCGGGAACAGCGGAATCGAGATCATCTTCGTAACTCGATGCGCTGAATCCAGCGGAGGCAGATGGCGACCACTCAAAGGAGATGTAGAGGAAGAGCAGGAAACAGAGGGAAGCGGTGGAGACGGTCAGCCGGAAGAGCTGCGTCTGCACCTGTCGGACATTAAAATTCATGTTGGATGTGATGCAGGAACCATCCAAGGCGGAGATGCGAAATCAACGAGCGACAGTAGCGATGCGACGCATATTGTAGGCGATAAAAGGGGGAGGGGGATAAGCAGCTGAAGAGAGGTCAAGAGGGGCAAGCGGAGATAAATACTCGCAAAAAAGCTTCGGCGATGTGAAGGTTCTTCCTAACTTCTTCCATATCAGCAGTGGGGCGCCCAATGCTGACTAGTAGATAGTTCGGTGGGAATGATTTGATCCGTTCGTTAAGCTTTGGGTGATGGCGCCTTCTCTCTATTAATTTCTCTCTCTATCAAGCTAAATTAGTAGCTGCACGACCGAGGAATCGTGGGTGCCTGAACTGGATTCCCTCGGAACACCCGGATTGGTTAGGGTATGGAAGTGGCGATAGCGTGAAGTTTTCTCCGGTTGTGCAATAATGCCCCCCTTTCCAACCCTGTAGAATCAATCGATTGATTGGCACCAACCAACTCAATCATGCCAACGCACTAACCATGGTACAGCCCAAAGCCAAGGGGAGAATCCAAATGTCGGCAATTTGACCACGAGCTGCTGATAAGCCGCTAACTCTCTTAGCCTCGCTTTTAGCTCGACCCGAAGCTTCCGAGGCCCCATTCACTCTCCGAATATTTTTGCCTGCCTGGCACCATCAGCAGGACACTAATACCATCGAGAGTCTTGATTATAATATCTTGCCATGGTGAGAATTGTGGGTTTACTGGTGGTGATATGTGGTGATAAACCCATATGATGAACGATTCTCGGGGAGAAGATTCGATTCGAACCGAACCGAACCGAACCCACAATTTCTTTTGCCTTTTTTTTCCTCAATCTCACCTCTCTCTGATGACTGCCGATCGTCCCTGCACTAAGCATAACGAACCATTTATTCATCCAGAATGGGCAGGGATGATCAGTCCTCAATAGGGTATATTTCAGCTGTCTCAATTTCCCATTCCGGTAGTTGACGAGATCTATCTAATTCTAATTATGGGATTTTCCCCTTGTTGAAGAATGATCCACTCTGTGATCGATCTGGTGTCGATGCCGGAGTTTCATCGGAATTTGACTTTTTTCTAAATCGTGTGGCTGAGATAGTGTTTGGTTGACGGGTGGAGATGTTTGAATTCCACACTTAGTTCTTCATGTTCATTTATTATACTCTTTCTCTGAAGGCAAAAGAAATAGTAGAAGATATTCAGAAATTTGCAAGTATCACATCTCCCTCAGTCTATCCAGCAAGAACCGGAACGTAATGTTTTTAATCCCAGTGGAAACTTCCAGTCTTTCCAAGTGTTGATACACCTTAGCCTCTAAACCATTCAGTGTCTCTTCGGTGACCTGCAGAATCTTCTGATCACGCATTTCATCCAAGATCAGTTGCTTCAGATCAGCTGGCAGCTTGTTATTTCTCGCTCGTTCTTGCTGGATATTCTCGATCAGGGCCGCATTCGGCGACTGTGTCAGAAGGAGGATCAATGGAAGCGACAATTTGCCTTCGTCAAGATCCTGCGCAAACCCCTTTTGCTCTTGATACTATAGTTCCAATTATATGTTGTTAGACGCATGCATTCTTCGATTTGCGTGTTGAATAGTTACCTTGGTTGATGCCAGGTTGATATAGTCATCTCGAGCTTGGAAATATTGGCCCAGAGCGATCATGAGATCGTTCAACTCGGTTTGCTTAATGGTTCTGCTATTTCGTTAGTACCACCATGTCTGCAGGGGGGCTTATTCCTCCACCTACCCAGCTGGAAACGACACTTGAATATAGAAAAGATTGCTCGCAAGACAAAACAGTGCGCCGGTTTCTGGGAATTCTGTATCAGTATCGACTCGAGATGTGTCTATAACTGAAACTCACTCAGCCTGTTCATTCCCAGGTATTCTGCAATCGAAGGACGATATCCAGAGCGTGTCCAGTAGAGGTCCATCGCTTGTCCAACATGAAGGTTGCGCAGCTCATCTACCTCAATCAGCTACATATAATCATCATCATTCTGGATGGTGTCTAACCAAAGAATACGTGTGAGCTGCCTGGCTTCATTAGTGAGATAACCTTCTCAAACGCTCGAGTAAGTGCATGGGTTGCAGCATTGATGGTTTGTGGTACCCCAAAGACGCGATAGGCAGCTGGCCGACCGCGTCTGAGCTCGGAGCTATCCTGGATGTCATCAAGCAGAAGCGACGACTCGTGCAAATGTCCGGTCAAGTCTTCTACCTGCGCTGCTGCCGATTCAGGTGCGTTAAACTATAGATTCAACGCTTGGATGATGGTGCCTCGAAGATAATCAATCGGCTGATGGAGTCCCTGTTCGGGAAGTGTCAGCTTCCCTGCTTGTTCGCGACAGCAACCTAAAGGCCACCGATGTGGCAGCCAACCTTGTAGTATGGGCTATCCAGCATTGTCTGCAGGTCCTCAGTGGAATCCAGGATCCGACTAGACTTGCCTCCCAACTGGCTGTTCAAAGAAGTAGCGCATGTTGCTGTGGCTTCATCGTAATCGAATAACTTAGCAGGCGGCAATTGTACTTGCTTTTACGAACAGGAAGGGTAGTTGCACATACATGAGCAACTTCCTCCCTGTCAACGAGCTCAAAATGAATAAATGAAATATCGACTGGTGACATTGTCTGAAGTATAACAGTCTGTTTGGGGAACGAACTAATTGATGTGTGAGAAGATGAGCAACTGTTTCCATGACACCAGGCCCTCTAGGACGGTGCACTGCGTATATACCCTATGAGCTGGCAATCCAGGAGCATAACGTGTACTTTCTCTCAAAACACACCGTCCAAGATACTCCGAATTCCACCACAGTACATATGCGGCGGCTATTCTTCCCCTAAATATCAGGGGATCGAAGGATTCTCAAGAGAAAGCTTCCCAAATATGGAAACGAGCATCGGCTATTGTCAGCCAATATACGTCCAGAACGGTAGGAAACGTGGCTATTGACAGTAATAGTCTCCCATGAGGTTGCCTACTAGCAGCCACCATCCCTTCTTTGGTCCCTGGATGGTCATTGCACGAGTCCAAGTGTCTGTGCATGCCACTTTGCGGACGCAGTAGTCACTAGTCTGATATTTCAGACTGGTGGAAAAGCAAACAAAATCAATGTTAAACTTAGGCTTCAACTCAGACACAAAAAGTAAGCATGAGAACTGAAGAAGAAATATACTCATCTGAAGATTACGGACAAACGTCAGAGGCCCCCTTTGCATAAGAATGGCTACACTATGATCTAATTCGAGACATGGTTCTTGGAGGCCTGTGAAAGAGTATATTCAGTCCAGGGTTATGGTCATTGGATCAATCGGAACCCAACATTGACTTTGCCTTGATGCCTTCAAGCTTTCATCTCCTGTTAAGTTCCCTGGTACATGCACCTGATTATCAAATAGTCAGTCAGCGAGGGACTCACCGGGCAGAGTGCATTGTAAAAGGAAATATATATATATATATATTCTCACCAAAATAACGCTCAGACTTAAACAATCCGTCTATAGTGAAAGACTAAGTTGCGAGCTGAAGTAGCTGGCGAATCCAATTACATATTCAGATGACTGGATGGTGGTGGCTTTACGGGATATCTTTTCTGTTGGGAGAGATAGTTCTCCGTCGCCTGACTCACTAGATGTGATATATTATTTTTGGTCTAGCGGTTAGTGTTTTGATATTTTCTATTCAGTTCACATCATTGATACCGATGTACTCATTGTATGCGATGATCGTTTCGGAATTCGTTTCTGAATGATGTCAACCCACTAGTAATCTTTTCTAATGCAATGTGGTGAGGATTATTCCCCAAGACAAGTGCAGGAGGTCTGTCATCATCCTCTTCCCTCGGGGGTTTCAACGCTGGTACTTGAGGTATTATCCTAGGGTATTGATGTCCAGACAAGCTGTGCGATAAGTGCAGAGCCCTGCCAATGTCTACAAAGAATCCCCAGGGAATACCTCTCAGCAGGATTCCATTGTGACTCATTAAATTTACTCGGAAGTGTTTCTTTCTCGTCCTTCACACAAACACCTGTCTTCGTTACAGCAGCCTTGATTCTTTGACTAGTCTCAGGACGGATAATGAAAGTATGTATTTCGAATGTACTAGTATATAGATCCTCAATATAATGATGGGTTGGTGTTGTACGAGATAGTGGAGGATCAAGTGATGCCTGGCTACAGTGAATGTCTCAACAATTTAAATATATATGTAATTGTAGAAACATGCCCCCAGTTATTCAGTATTCTTTTTCTCTCCGATGTCAACTACGACTGTCATCTCCACTTCGACCAAACAATCGACTATTCCCTAACAGTACTAAGTAGTTACTCACATGAATAAATGTCTGCCTACCACCAAAACACATGACATCACACCAACCCGTCCCCTTCCACCTTCCAAAATCTAAAAATACCCCAAGGCTGTGTGCCCACTAAACCCAACATAGTAAAGCGTATGAAAAGGACCCCTGAACCCCCGCCACAACCGGGCGGTGCCGCATATATTCAACAACCACAACAGCCTTATATGCTTGCTTGATTACCACTCAACAGACAATTAACTGTCAATCAATATCATTACTGTCAATACCCCATCTCCTTCCTCCCCTCTCATCCTCATATTCCATATTCAATACTCTCATATCCCATAATGTCCACCTACACCGTCGCCAGCGGCGACTCACTATGGAAAATCTCCCAAGACCACGGCGTCACCCTCGACGCCCTCAGAGCAGCCAACCCGCAGATCACCAACCCCGATCTTATCTATCCGGGGCAACAGCTGAATATCCCGGGGTCTGATCAGCCTCAGCCTCCTCCTCCGGAGAATCGTGGTATGTCGGAAGCAGCACCTGGTCAGATGTATCCTCCTTCTGATCCTCCTATCCACCTTGCTGTCTGTCCTCCGGGGCCGCCGGTTGTTCCAAGCGCTGCTGCTGGAGGAGCACCGCCCGCGGTTCCCCCACGTCCTCCGATGGCCCGACCGCCGCCTCCGTGGATTAATGTCGGGAGACCGGGGTATAAGACTGTCGGGTATTTTACTAATTGGGTAAATTATACACCACTTTCCCTTATTACTATATTTCTCTGGGTATCAGTCAGTGTAATGATATGAAACTGATGGATTGTGGCAGGGCGTCTACGGCCGCAATTATCAACCTCAGGATATTCCTGCGGAGTATATCACCCATATTCTCTGTATGTGCCGATTGTACTGAGTCTCTTTCCAGCCTATTCTTGTTCTAACTTCAATAGACTCCTTCGCCAACATCCGCCCGACTGGTGAAGTGTACGTCCTTTCCCCAGACCTTCAAACCAATCTCCTAATTAACATTTGTAACTGTAGCTTCCTAACCGACACCTACTCCGACCTCGAAAAGCACTACCCCAACGACAGCTGGTCCGAGCCCGGCACCAACGCCTACGGCTGCATCAAGCAACTCTACCTCCTGAAACAACAACACCGCCACCTCAAAACCCTCCTCTCCATCGGCGGCTGGACCTACAGTCCCAACTTCGCCGCGCCAGCATCCACCCCGCGCGGGCGCGAAACCTTCGCCCGCAGCGCCGTGCACCTCCTCGCGGACCTGGGCTTCGATGGCATCGACATTGACTGGGAGTATCCAGCTGATGCATCGCAAGCGAAAGACTTTGTTATCCTACTAAAGGATGTGAGGCGCGTGCTGGACGAGTACTCCGCTACCCACCTCGGAGGGAAAAGGCTGTTATTGACGATCGCGGCGCCATGTGGGCCGGATAATATCCGGAAACTGCGGATCGGCGATATGGACCCGTACTTGGATTTCTGGAATCTGATGTGCTATGATTTCAGTGGGAGCTGGGATAAGAACTCCGGACATATGGCGAATGTCTTCCATTCGGGGAGGGGAGAGATTACCCCGTTTTGTGCGGATGGGGCGGTGACGATGTATTTGAACGGTGGGGTGAGGGATCCAAGGAAGATTATCTTTGGGTTGCCGTTGTATGGGAGGGCTTTTGAGGGGACGGATGGGCCTGGGGGTGGGTTTCAGGGAGTGGGGGAGGGAAGTTGGGAGAATGGGGTGTGGGATTACAAGGATTTGCCGTTGAAGGGGAGTCGGGAGGTGGTGGATCCCAGGTTGATGGCTAGTTGGTGTCATGACCCGGTGAATAGGAAGATGGTTAGTTATGATACGCCGGAGGTGGCGGCTATGAAGACGGATTATGTTGCTAACAGGCATTTGGGAGGGGCTATGTGGTGGGAGTTGAGTGGGGATCATCATGTCTCGCATGAGAGGAGCTTGGTCAGGGGGACTGCGGAGAGATTGGGCAGGCTGGGTGGGTTGGATGGTACGGAGAATACGTTGTATTATCCGCTGAGTCGGTTTGAGAATTTGAGGAGGGGGTGTGTTTGATTCAGTCTATTTATATTGTGTTAACGGTCTGGTATATGGGTATCATTAGCAAGTCTTCTGTGGTTGACTCTTCAGTATCCTAGAAAAGTGCTGCCAGATCGTCTCTCCGTCTAATGCACATGTGAATGCTATCAGCCCGTCGGGTCGGATCACCACTAGCATTGCTTTTCGTGGGTCGAGTTTGTAGGCGTAGTGTGCTATTCCCCTCGCGTCAAAGTAGGTATCACCGAATCCTGTCATCCCGAGCACCTCGTACGGCGAGCAGCCGGCTGAGCCGCACACTGTTAACCAGGCAATGGCCGGGTGCATTGCAAGCTCCGGGTGGCTATCCAAGTGCTCCCGAAGAGGAACTAATTCCAATTTCGATGTCTTGATATCACCGCCTGTAAAGACTATCGCATGAAACTGGCACCGGTTCCGCAAAACTTGGTGCATCCGCACAGACTGGAATGTCCCTGGCGTGGTCAACTCGGTATCCGGAGCCCGGGTCCCTGGTTGAACCCCCACAGCCGCCTCAGTAGCTGAGTCCCAGGGTTGGTTAATTACGTTGGCCTCGTAGGATATACCGAGCCCCGTATTGAATGGTGCAGCATTGTTGAAGATTTCTCCGAGGAGAACGTTCGGGTCTGCGTTCGGATCCCCATCGTACCAAGCCGGCCATTTATGTGTCATCAATAGAGAGATATCTTTGTCGTAGTTGAGTAATCTCTGCACTGCAGACTGGCGCTCCGTTGTGTAGGTGTCCAAGACCTCCGGATGAGATAGCCCTTGCACCTCCAAAGCCAGCTTCCAGGCAAGATTCACAGCGTCATGAATACCAGTGTTTAGGCCTTGAGCGGCGCCGCTGCTGTGGGTATGGGCTGCATCGCCGCAGATGAAGACACGATTATTGTGCGTTGCAAAAGTTCGGGCCATGCGCTGGCCGATTTTGTATCTTGACGATTTGTTAGTAGGATGTCTAGTGGCCTGCGGGGGTTGCTTACAATGTCCACCAGTGTACCTCTTTGAACTTTAGACTGAAGGGCCACAAGCACGCAATGGCTTCGTTCACAGCAACCTCCTCGGTTACCCCTTCCGGATATTTAGCTGCTATCTCGGGTGTGTATGCGTAGCCAATGCGGGTAGCGCCGTGGTCAAGAGGGGCCCAGAGAACGTTCCCATGTGTCGTTGTTTCGATGGCCCTGTATGCGGATCAGATCATGTTAAGGTACTCATTCAGAATCTAGCTTACCCATAAGCCCGATTGATGGGCATATTGGTCTCGACTATGCCATCAATGCGAATCCACTGATCTTCTGATGAATCACCATCGAAGGGAATATTGGCATATCTGCGAACAAGACTATGGCCACCATCTGCTCCAACAAGGTATTTACTAGCACTCAGTCAGTGTCATGCTTCTGTTAAATGGCCTTTCATGCAGAAGGCATACCTTTTGGCTGTCATCATACCACCAGGTCCTGAGCAATGCACCGTTACTGGGTATTCACTATCGTCCAGACCGATTTCAAAGCCGACACACTCCATAGAACCATGATAAGACACCTTTTTCTTATCTAGCCTTTCTCTCAATATATCCTCCGTGTACATTTGCCTCAGCACAAGGGCAAAATCAAACACGGTGCCCTGGATATTCTCCATGAAAGTCCATACTTTTCCTGGGAACCTACCCAGTCTGGTTAGTCGTAGTATTGAAAGAAGATCGAGAGGTATACTTGCTGTCTCACTCCATCTTTGTACGTCACACTACTCCTGCAAGCAAACCCCTGTTGAAGCATGGGATGGACCAAGTCCAATTGATCAAGGAGCTCCAACGTCCGCGGAAACAGTGTAATGGCACGGCCGTAGCGGCCCTCCGGAGTATTTTTATCTTGCTTTTCCACAAGGCAGACTGAAAGGTCGAAGCGGGTGAGTTGGTAGGCGAGGAGAAGGCCAACGGGGCCGCCGCCGATGATGGTTATATCGTAGGTCTCAGGGGATGGCATTTTGCTGCTAGATAGTGCAATTGGTGTAAGAAGTCTGACAGGGCTCTGAGATGGTTGGTACCATGTTGCTTGGTACGGAGTCAACTGCTGGTGGCATTTTAGACGATCGACGCTTCGTGAGGGGTAAGATAGGATAAGAGTCCGGGGAGGGGTTGATAACAGGAGCATGACTAAGGGCGCCAGGGGTCTGTACCGCGGGTCATCAGCGACTTAATCCGATTTACTCTTTGTATGTTAGATTTTGGCTCGGTAACTGATCAGTGGCGCAAGAGCTTTCCGATGCAGTTCTAAACAAACGGGTATGCTTTGCTCAGTCTTTTAAAAAGGCTTCCCAGTCAGCCAAGGCCTTAACAAGCAATGGGATGAGTAAGCCCTGCTTGAACATCACAGTCGAAAGCCATCATTGAGCTTTCTAATGCCATCTTATAGGTCAACAGATTACGCTCAATAGAACACCGTCTTAGAACTCGATGACATTCGTGCTGTCAGCTCCATCTTTGTGCGCCTGAACGAGCCAGTGCTCAAATCAAAAGCCAGTCACGGCCCAAGTGACCAATTGAGAATATCCAGTGTGAAGGTTCTGTACCGTCGCATCGCTGCCAGCGGTCTTCTATAATCTTGGAAGCATTAATCACATTCACGCACTTGGTCTGCTCCCAGAAACTTTCCATATAAGTTCGCACGGAGTCTCTTTGTTCCTGTCGTTGACATTCAAGACCAGCGATTATTATGGGCCAGAGGATGCATTTATACAAGGACTCGTCGTTCTGCAAGCTTTCGATCGTGGCAAGCAACTCCTGGAGCAGGTCCTCTAGTGGTAAACACTCCTTAGTGAGAGCGGCAAGGACGCGTTTTCCATATATTAGAGCTCCTATCTTGTATGATTGCGCCAATGTGCAAAGAGAGCTTGTATCTCTTGGAGGGGTGGTGCCCAGATATGGTAGCGACGAAGCCCATACAGAACAGTCGAATTGCTGGATGAAGTCTACCATCGATATAGTATCCTCAATGAAGTAGCTCCAGGTGGAGTCATCGTGGCATTCGGAGCTGGCAATTGTGTCTCTTCGCGCAGAGAGATACCGTATCGCATCCAGTAGGTATTCGGGACATCCAAGGAATGACTGCTCGACGGTCTCTTGAAATTGTGGGCCCCCAAGCAAATCATACTGTGATAATAACTTTGGGCGTACAAAGGTTCCACCCAAGGTTTCGATGCTGGATTAAAATAATCGTCAGTCACATAATTCAACACCCAGGGTGCTCCTTGCTTACGAGTAAATCTGACTAGCCAGAAAATTACGCAGATCCTCTATAGTTTGCCCGGAATCATGTCTGGAAACAGCTTGCGAGTCAGGTGTACTGGGCTCCAATAACCTCTTGGCACCTTCTAAATGAACATTCCATCGATCACTTCCAGACTCCAGAAGATCGAGAAATACTAGGAGGAATATGCTGGCCACTGTCTCATCCTTGTTCCGTGATTTCGCATCACCCAGGGCCTGTGCAATCCCTTGTATGGCTTGATATTTGAAGCGAAGCGCGTCAGAATTTGCAATCATTTGATCGGATGATGCATTGACGGTGAGATCACGGAACGAGCAGTGTCGATTTACCCTGTGTCGCGCTGCAAGAGCCAGCACGGACTTGAGGAGAGTGCGGTCAATCAGCGCAAGTGACATCAAGGCCCTTAGAGGATTCCTATCGCTGTCGTAAACGATGAAGAGCCCACATATGCTTTCATTATCTGATACAGCGTTAGACAGGTCCGTACACAGCCCAACGAGATAACTAACAATAATCCAAGTAGTACCTGGAAACTGCGTCCAGGTCAGAAATGGCAAAATCGCCTATAGTCGGTGGTATGCTGATTACAGGTTCCGATGGGGTGACTAATCCGATATGAGCGATTTATTGAATACTCAATAGTGTGTGCAGCAGCTATACTTACCCTGACTTTCGGGAGACCGCACAACGGAAAGAGCAGACTCACTCGCCGATGCAAGACTGTCATCACTCGAGTCTGACTCTTTTCGGGATTTTGCTTTTTTGGCTGGACTAGCTGATTTAGTTGCCAGTGATACGCCCCGCAGCTTCCCCCGTATCGCTAGGCCTTCAACCCATCTCAGAGGTCTAGAAGCAAAGCATTGGTAGCCACTTGTCGCGCACTTTACGCAAGGAGATTGAGACTGGTCGCAGCGAATGCGCCGGCGCCGACATGTGTAGCACGGCTCCTCCATTCTCGTTGGACGTACAGTCTATAGTAGGCTGCGTAGCGACGCTGTCTTTACTGCGTGGCGAGATCCCCTCATCGAATGCCAATCCAGCAATTTTGATGCCCAACGCTCAGAGAGGCCGTGATCTGCAATGGACATAAAATCTGAGACATGTAGAGTCTGTAGACAATAAAGTTCGTTGATGGTGTCTGATAGGACAGAGCGGGGAAGAAAGATGGAGGAAGATGCAGCGAGGCCGGGAGTAACTCTGTGGGGAGATTCAAGGTCTGGCCGCCAAACTATTTCCGCCACCCAATCAAAGCTCGATCCGCGCCCCCTGAACTGACCGGTCAACCAAAATTTACGGCATGACATATACTCTTCTCATTCCTACCTTGCATTCTACATTTTTCATGTCGCTCTATGCGCGATAAGCAAGATGTGAGCCAGTATATAGTTCTGCGTAAGCCCCTCCGTTGTTCTAGCCCGATGTTGGTTAATCACCCTTCTCTCCCTTCTACACCCATACTAGTACAGTAGGCTAAATATCTCGCCAAGACACATACTAATCCAACACAATGGCACCAGTTGACGAGAAACCAGTCTCTCTCTGCAAGTCCGAGACTCACGATACTCTGGAGGTTTCCTTGCTCAAATTCATCTACTCTCACCCCTCCCTGCCCCAGATTCGCGGCAATCCGTCCGCCCTACTCGCTCTTATCGACGAGTTTGCTGCAAAGCAAGCCTTCTTTATCAGCCTTGGCCCAGACAAAGCCAAGAAGCTTTCGACGCTTTTCGCAGACGAGAAGCCAAAGGTTGTCGTTGAGCTCGGCACCTATGTCGGCTACTCCGCAATCATGTTCGCAGACGCCATGCGGCAAGCCGCTGGTGGATCCTCGACAGGCCTCCGCTTGTGGAGTCTGGAAGCTGATCCCCTCATTGCTTCTATCGCCATGAACTTTATCGAACTGGCGGGTCTTAGCGATATTGCCAAAGTGGTTGTCGGTCCGGCGGACGAGTCGCTCAAGCGCTTAAGTGCGGAAGGGAAGCTACCTAGTGTCGATCTCATGTTTATTGATCATATCAAGGATCTATATGTACCTGATCTAGAGCTGTCGGAACGGCTTGGGTTCCTTCACCCTGGCTCTTTGGTACTCGCCGATAATGTGGTGCATCCTGGTGCGCCGGCTTACCGGGAGTTTGTCCGTGGGAGCTCGAAGTATGAGAGCTGGGGGTTGAAATGTCTTCTATTCCCAGAAGATATAGTTGTAAGTGTTTCCCTGTCGTATTGCATGTTTATATGCGCTAATCATGTTTGTGCTTCAGGATGAGATTGAAATCAGCAGAGTGAAATAAGATTTGTCTGCTCAAGCATGACATCTAGGACACGAGGTTATGACAGGATACACATGATAACTTCCACCATCTCAAATGTGCTAGACATGTGCGGTTATATAGTAATTTTGACTAAGATAGTGCCAATCTTCAGCACTACATGCATGGCGCCCCACATAATCAGATACTATCTAATCTCTGCTCATTAATTCGTACACACATTCTATACTCCTACTTCTGCGCATCCTTCATCTCCCCCCTCTCCCTCACCATCTGCGCAACCCCCTTCCCAACATCCGTCTCCAACGCCTCAAACCCACTAACCACCCCCTCGCGATCCCCCTTCCCCATCTCCTGACTCATCTTAAACTTCCCCTGCAATCGCTCAATTCTAATCTCAATGCCAATAATATTCTTCTTAAGAATCTCCACATACGGCACCGGCGCATCCGAGACGCTCCACGGTGCCGGCCGCCCCTCCGTGCCCGTATACCCCATAATAGACCCCTCACTCTGTTTTGTCAAATCTTCCACGGCTTTCTGTAAGAACGTCCCCGTCTCCTCAGACTTCGAGTCACAGTAAACCCGGATCTTGCCGTACGCTTGCGCAGCGGCATAGTTCCACGTCGGGACGACTTTCCCTGTGGCGGGTTTCGTCTCCGTGTAGAACTTGGGTGTGACGTAGTGGTGGTGTTCGGAGGTGAAGAGGACGAGGACTTCGTCTTCCAGTTCGAGAGAGTTGGGGTTGTTGCCGGGTTGTTGCTGCTGCGCTGCTAGTGCTTCCATTAGGGCCTTGGCTTGGGGGTTTTGCTTGGCCATGTGGCCGCGGAGGGTGCCATTGGGGATTGTTTCGTCTGATGAGTCCTCTGTTGAGGGTACATCGAGGATAAAGGGGATGTGGCTTGATTGGAGGAGAGGGTAGAGAGGGGATTTGATTGCTGTTGTAAGGATGCCGAGGGGGTTTTGGCGGATGAGTTGGTGGAGGGCTGGGATGTGGGATTCGGCGTGGATGGCGCGGAGATACATTGTGGGCGTGAAGTGCGATCCTGTTTGATGATTTAAGTATGGGTGTATTTTGGAAAGACTTCAGTTGTAGTAGAGAGGGCAAGCATTCTTATATTACTATCCAGTATTCCGCGAGTTTAGTAGTAGGTATCGGCCGACGAGTCATACTTTTGTCTGTGTCATCGCATCGGACAGTATGCTGATTGGACAATATCGCCGAGGAATAAATTCACGTAGTGCTAGTTCTATTTAGTAAGTAGCACAACTGGCGGGTGGGTTGAATCTATAGAGCTGTACTAGGTGTAGACCCTCTTGGCTTCTACGGAAAACATCATGACTATCTCCTCGGAATTTAGAACTCGAGTTGCTGATGAGCAATCTGGAGGATATGATTCCGTGCCTGAGCATTGCGGCACATGGTCAGTAGCCACCAAGTGACGGATCAAGAAACCTTATAATCAGATTTTGATGTCCGTTCCCACACGTGCAATTCGTTTCAAAGCCATTTGGGCGAAATCTCTAACATTGGATTCTAGAATGTATGTGGAAAATGTCTGTGACAGTGCAACTCAGGCCAGTTCGGGATGGTGGCGGGGCCACCTCTCCCGAACCAATGATAGAGAATTTTTCTCTCCAAATCTTTGCCCGTTTAGGAACTTGAAGGGAGTGGGGCGGGGTCTCCGCCAGAGAAAGATGAAGTATAGAGAAGAACCTAAAGGCAATCGACTCACTCTATGTGTATATAAGGGAGTCATTTTCACGACTTCGAGTCATTATTTGTTGAATTTATCCTCAGTTTAACTTACTGTCAGACTTGGCTTTTTGAAAAATATATTCAGCAGACGAGCAATATGGCTCCTTCTAACCTTCACCATCCCTCGACTCGAGCACTACATGCAGACGACCACCTTAACCGGGTGACAGATGTCGCACCCCCAATCCATCTGTCTACGACTTTCAGATTCCCCGACAACCCGGATGATTTGATCCCGTCCGTTGACCCTGTGGTATGTTTGCCAATCGGCCAATGCGCATTCCCCAATGTAATGATGTCCCCAACAGCTAACAGCCTTATCAGGAAGAATTCGACGGCAAAAACTACATTTACTCCAGAGAGTTCGCCCCCAACGCAACTCGATTCGAAGCTGTCGTTTCGTCACTTCTCAACGGCCGGGTTGTTAGCTACTCGACCGGTCTCGCTGCCCTCCAGGCCGCTCTCGTCCTCTTGAACCCCCGTCGCATCTCGGTCGGTGAAGGCTATCACGGCAGTCATGAGGTCATCTCTGTAATCTCAAGATTGTCCGGGCTGCAGAAGCTACCGCTCGATTGCCCGGCTGATGAGCTAGACAAAGGCGATGTCATCCTCCTGGAAACCCCCGTCAATCCGCTAGGAACTTCGTTCAGTATTGATGAGTTCGCTAAGAAGGCCCATTCCAGAGGTGCTTATCTGGTGGTTGATAGCACCTTTGGCCCTCCTGGTCTTCAGGACCCCTTCCGGTGGGGCGCTGATCTCGTTCTGCATTCGGGATCTAAGTATCTTGGCGGCCATAGTGACCTTCTATGTGGTGTACTCGCTACTCAGCGCAGAGACTGGGAGAAGCAACTACTGGAAGATAGAGTCGCATTGGGCAATGTCATTGGCAATCTGGAGGCATGGCTTGGGCTCCGCAGTCTACGCACCCTCGAGGTTCGTGTCCAACGAGCGAGTCAGGGCTGCGGGAGTCTAGTTGCCTGGCTTAATCAGGCTTTGACTGCCCCTTCCACTGCTGCTGGAAGTGAAGAACAAATAGTCCAGTCAGTCGTTAAGAAAATATACCATACCAGCCTGCAGGAGGAGCCGTGGATCCAAGAGCAGATGCCTAATGGATTCGGCCCTGTCTTCTCAATTGTCCTTCAAAGTGAAAAATTTGCGCAACGACTACCCAGCAAGTTGGCTTTCTTTCAGCACGCCACGAGTCTGGGCGGTGTTGAGTCTTTGATCGAATGGCGTGCGTTATCGGATTCCCGGGTGGACAGGAAGTTGCTGCGGCTGAGTATCGGGTTGGAGAATTGGGTAGATTTGAAGAATGATTTGCTGGAGGGCTTTAAGGCTGTTTTGCAGGAGTGAAATGCACAAAGGATGAAAAGTATATAGAAACATGTTTGTTGGATACACTAGTCAGTTAATGTAAGCACTATGACGGAAAGTGCAATTGAGGCATTAAACCTAAAAAAACTCAAGAGAAGGCCTTTGCGCTGGTATGGTCACTGTATAAAGGCAAGGGTATAAACCAACGTCGACTTCCCCAGTGATTGGAGCAGCTGCAAAGCTAGTGGTCTCCTGCCTTGGTCTCGGTAATTAGTTAGTCTACTGTTGGTGGGAACATGACGTCGTTGGGTTCTTCTGTCCTCTGCAGAATCGGCATTACGCCGATAGTTTCAATATTTTCGCATGGTCGCAAAATGCATCCAACCTGAGACTAAATGAGACTTCAGGAGTTGATGTATCGAGTACCATGTTCCAGGGGGACCGACAGGGATGAGTCGATGTTTGACTCTCGAATCCGCCAGACCAGGTGAGCAACTGCCCGGATAGGCAAGTCTATCTGGTGACTAAGCCAGACCCTTGTTTGGGGGGGAACATGTAAATTACCGTGTTGTAACGCAGTATACTACTTAACACATCCATCATACCTCATGGGGATGGATACTATGAAAGACAATGTTGGTGATCATCACGAAGATGTCTGGAAAGGGATGGAGGCTCACCGTATAAGTCGACTTCTCTCTGTCAGAAAGCCACCTGGCCCCCTCGCTCACAGCCGTTGTGCCGTCGTATCAAGAGATAGCCGCCGGTAATATGGGGTACACATACATACTTACACTATAGTTAGTTAGTTACTATGCTTAGGTACATTCTGAATGCAGTGTTACCTTCAGCGGCATCAATCAACGCTGCGACAGATAAGTGCTGCGATAGTTTAGTAGTTACTAACCGATCCCGGATTTGCTGGCAATTGGCTTTTCCTGGGATACTACTTGGTTACTTTGTACTCTGTATGTAGCTAAAAACCGAACTCTGCATAAGAGCGAAGACTAAACTCTTCATGGAGTTAGTTCTGCAATGGATGGAGCACCGCAAACAGGGCGGACAGACTCAAAGCGGGCCACTTTCTGGCCGGTCCAGGCTCTTTTTCTCTTTTCCCTGGCATCCAAATTTAGCAACTTTTAGGAACCGTCAAAACGAGGGAAAACAATCCCCCATACCTTCCTTACCCTTACCTGCTCAATACCTGAAATTAATTACTTAATTTGTCGCAGGAAGGAGCAGCAGCAAAAGTCCAGAACAAAAACCATCCATCCACCATGGCTCTTCTTCCTTCGGTTCCTTGCAGCATCCGTTCTTTGTCTCCCTCTCTTCTCCTCTTCCCTTCTTCCCTTCTATCTCCCTTCTTCCTCACCCTGAATCCAGGGTCGTGATCGTGTTGTTCAACAGCAGGGGGGCGCAACCCCGTTCCCGCCGGGCGCATTTTCCTTATCTTAGGTTTGCACCGACGTAAACGTTGTTCCCGGCTGACCATTATTGACTTCCCACCCCCTCACCCTCACTCTTTCAACGGGTCACCCTCCCGGCAAGGCTCGTTTCCCTGAACGGCGCTTGGCCGCGCTTTTATTGCTTCAGATCTTGCTGAAAATGGCCTACAACGCCGTTTCTCAGGCCGACCACGAGGTGGCTTCCAACACGACCGATTCGGACCATTCCCGCAGTCCGTCGCCGGACTCTCAGCGCAATGGTCACTTCCAGCAGTTGCCGCTGGACGCCGACCATATTGGGGCGGGCTCATACCTGCAACCCGCCAAGTCGAATGAAGACTCGGGTGTCAAGAGCTTGGGCTCCATGATCCGATCGATGACCTCAACTAGCTATGATATGGTGGAGGAAGATGACTATGAACTGCCTGCCGATCCCTCTGCGGACCAGAGTTCCAATAGTCCCCGTTACGTCCCTCCGCTAAAGACAGTCCCTCAGACTAGTTCTACGACTACCACCGCCGCTACCGATGCCCACACCCCTGAACCGGCCCTCCGGACTCCAGTCACCGATCAGCCGGTCCCTCTCAGTCATCCCACGCCCGACCTTCAATCGCTGCAAGGAGCCTACATCAATAATGTAGAGCGGCTTGAAAGGAGCGCGGAACGCATGAGCCTGAGTTCCAATATCGGAGACGAGATTCGCAGAATGGACCAGGAACAAAAGCGACGCTCTAGTTCGGCCTCCAACTCCACTCACGCCAGCAATTACGACGGCCTCAAAACAAGTCTGTCGTCTCGCCACGGCTCCATACAGTCCTCTCGTTTGGCACAGGTTGCAGAACACGCCCCTGCGCGGTTCTACGGCGATTCGGCCACTCGAGTTCCCGCGATGCCTTACCTTCCTCCTCCCCCGCCGCCAGCTGTGCACAGTGAGCACGACTTTGTTCAGCAGGATTACTACGACCAGGAGCTTGGGGAAGAGCTGGAACGGACATACACAGCTGCTTCTACCGATACGTATCAACAGGCTAGGGTCCTTTTCAACGACTTTGATGGCGTGCATTATGTTCCGAATGAGAGTAATCTGGGCCGACGAGTGTCGCTGACGCGACCACCCTTGGCAAGCAGATCCGAGGCATATAAGGAGCCGCAGGCAGGCGAGAATATGGTTTACTACCCAGCGCCTGTGCCAAGGATGTTAAATCTACCACCTCGTTTGTCGCAGAAGAGTGATCAGCCACGAGGCAAACGACGGTCACAGCTCCTAGGTGTGCTCGCTGCCAAAAACCGCAAGTCCACTCAATTAGCCGCTGGTCAAGATCAAGGCGATGGTGGCGAGCCAAGTAATCACAACCAGCCGACAAGCGTACCTCCACAACTGCGCGCGAGTATGTTTTTCGAACAACCAGCTAGAGCAGTGGATGTAGAGGTTACCCATGCTTC